AGCTTTATTGTGTGGGTAAGCAGTGGAAAAGCATACTGCGAGGTGCTGCCATTTTCTAGAAAGTAGTTAGTTGCCAGCACTACTGCAGGTGATGCTAATAAATTTTAGAGAGCCATGCCAGATACAGTATATTCATTTGCAAATTGTTCTTCGTCAGACTTTGTTTAATCATAGTTTTGAAGATGGGTTAACCATGATGGGCTTACATTTAGTCCAGCCAATTGATTTGTCTGCTAGTTAGGTATGTGAAATGCTGTCTTCCTCTTTTCCCTTGCTTTTACGCTGTTAACACAGTGAAATGAAGAAAATCTTCAAATTCTTATAAACTGAAGCCATCTGGCAGTTCATAGTTGTTATGCTGTCCAATTGGGTAGACTACTCAAAATGTACTCCCCATGCTTATGAGTAAGAGATTGTATTATATAGTGGGTTCCTCTGTTTGAGAAGTTAGGATTAAGAGTTTTTAAGTGGTGATTTACTTAGTGTCTGAAATTTTGTTTTGGTCTGGGGAAAATAAAAAATGATGAAGTGAGAGAGTATGTGTGTATAAAGAGTAATGAATGTGTGGTATAGGAGAGAATTTATAGGCAATTTCTGGATTGGATTGCATTGGATTTGGGACCCTAATTATTATCTAATTTCTGTCTTCTAATTTTGGTCCAAACACAGATCTACTGTGTGTGGTGTTTGTACGTATAAATTGTTATTGTACAATTACCTCATGCACTGAAAAGAGAAGATTCTTGAAGACAGCATATCTAGTCAAATACCTATTATGGTACCATGAGCTAAAGGTGGACTTACTTGGAATCAAACTGACGAAGAAAGAACCACAAAAATTTCAATAGAAATACTTTCCACAAATTTCCAGGTAATTCATCAACTGGGTTGGAACACCATAGGTCTGTGTTGCCTGAGCAAATGACTGAATGGTGGCTGTATTTGGTTGAAAATATAGACAAGCAGTTGAAAGATGAGTCTGGAGCTCTTCACTGTTTTAGCTTGAAGTTTAAGCATACCTGAAATCTTCTTCACCCACAGATGGCAAAGATGAATGACGAGTTTTTTACTCTCCCATTTCCATCTACCACAGTGGCATGAAATAACATTGCAGGCTAGTTTTCACAGCTTGGTGCAAATATTTTTCTAGATTGGATTCTGGGAATGAAACTGTTTCCTAACATTTATCATTTATCATCTCTAATGTTGCATAGAAAGAAGCCTTTACTTCAAACCTGTAGAGGTACAAGTGACATTACAGAGACTAACTGTAAGCGTAATAGACTTCTAAAGCTCTCTCCAAACAAGCAGAAGGTAGTTCACCTACATTTGATGGAGTTATTATGTGACAGATTGAGTAAGCGTGTGTGAATACAAATGGAATATGTGGTTATTTTTAGTGGCAAAAAAGTCACGCTTAGAAAAAGATAACTCTGTGGCTTATGTAAAAGTATGGGTAGTTCCTCTTCCTGGTCTTGTTTTTAAAAGTGTGAAGTATAAAAATACAGAGTTATATAAATATTTAAGATATACTATAACATTCAGAATATTTCAGTATGCTTGATTCAAGTGCTGGGTTTGATTTATAAACATCCAATAGTCATAATGTTGTTGCATAAGGAAATAGGATAAGGAAGACTTCTGTTTGAAACGCTACCTGAAGTGTCATTTCTCTTGTGTTGCATCAGGACTGTGGCTGGGGCAGTATTTTCTTGGCTGTGTCACTGCCAAATCTGAAGTTGTCATGTGACATGCAAGCTATCTTATCCTAAATGGGGATTTAGTTGATTTGGCAAATACATATTGCTGTATTTAGGCTGTCTTATACAAACGCTTGTGGTTTCTCTGTGTATTTAAAGCAAATACTTACATATACTTACATTGTTTTGCAGCGATTACATTCTTTTGGCATGTGCTTACATTTCTACATGGATGTTTTGTGCAAATGTAAGTCATTAGCCTGTGTGCAGTTTTGGAGGAGAGAGCCACATAACATATTTGAAAGCAATGTGAAAAATACAGTATTCATACCTCCTTTTTAGCTTTAAATGTATTTTTAATTAGCCCACGTGTATGTAGAATTAGAAGAGAATAAAATTATAATATTATTTTAAATAATATAATGGTTTAGAGTGAATTTCAATCATTGCTCCAGACGCATGTGTTGAGAGACAGTGTTGGTGTTTTTGCTGTTTTCTGACTCTGTCTTACTTTGAGACACAAATATCAGTGGGATCACTGAAACTCCTTTGAGCAGATGCTGTAGAAACATAACAGTGTTTAAAAAACAACAGCTCTGCAAAAACTTTCACATAGAAATACACTGGTTGCATTTATGTAATTGCCTTTGGCATCCACTGAAGTAAGTTTAAGTAGAAGTTCATCCATAAAATTATCTGCTTTTCTCAGTCTTCTTGAACCTTGATCTGTTTTGGTATAATGTTCTGCAGTTGGTAAAGATGCTTTGTGATTGGAGTCTAATCCCAAGTGGGATTACACCACCTTCTGATTCAGAATTTCCTGCTGTTGCAATGCATGTTGTTTTACAGAAATGAGAAGCAACTCCCTGTCAGACACTCATATTGAGGTTGTTGCCAGGGAACAGCGTTAGTGCCGTCTTCTTTCCCAGCTGAAGTCAAGGCATTGTTTCTTTTGTAAACTTGTTTCTCAATGAGTTTGTGTACTTGATTTAAATAGTTCAGTTTGAAGTTGCATTTCCCAGGAGAGTAAGCAGTTATCTTTCTATAACCAATTTTTGCTCAAAATAAATAAACCATATTGCAACGACATTCAAGTTGGGAGTAGACATTTATCCTTTATACGGCAGTTGTTCTCACTCAAAGTCTTTTCCATACCTTCCCCCCCACACACCTTTTTTTTTTAATTTATTTATGGTGTTCTTTGAGAGCTGTCCTCCATGCATACATAGCAGAAGGGCTGCCCGTGCATCACAAGCTCTCAAAGCATGGTTTATCCCAGTGCAAATGCATGCATGTGGGTATGTGTGTGTGCTCAATCCTAACAAGAAAATGAGTGATGCAGTGATCACATCTGTTTTGCTTTCATTTCAGAAAGATTTCTTCCTCATGGCTTTTCTTAGATTATCTGGTTTCTGGCTACGTTGCTATTGTAGCAGAGACCAGCTACAGAGCGAGAACTTCTGTGGAGAAGCGTCCCTGAGAGCAGTGCTGTTCACCAGCTTTCACAAAGAGCCTGGGAGGACCACAATGCCACACTGCAGGAATACATCCTGAGTAAATCTGAGGTTTCTGCAGAGGATCCTGCAGTCAAAATTCATCTTTGAAGGAGAGGAGGTTCTGGAATAAAGGCTGCAGCCTGTCTGTCTACTACCGCTCTGGGTTGCAAAGCAAACACACATTCAGGCTTTATAAGCATAAAAAAGAGCTGAAAAATCTGAGAAGGAAAGAGTAAGCTGCTCTTCAGATTTTGATTGCAAGATTTTCTAGTTTCTAAAGCATAACTTTTTTTTTTTTTTTTTAACGTTATATATGTTTATAAACATATGATGCCTTTTCTGAATGCAGTGGATTTTGGTGCACTCTGATTGGACCCGTATAAATGCAGTAAATGTGACTAGTAATTTATCACAGCTTTTGCTAAACGCAGAGGGGCTTTTTTAGCTGTGTTACCTGAGTTTCTGTCTGGTTGGATGAAAAAATGCATTGATTTGATGAACGTGTGATGCTTTTGTCTTGTAGTGCAATATTTGCTGTGCATTATTCTTAGTAACCAGTGAATGCTTCTTAAGATTTTTCTCTTGTGAGGAGGAGAGTAGTTAGTTCCTTACAAGGTTAGCTGCACACCGGCACCATAGGCTGTCACCTTCCAGGAAGGATAATAGGATAATAGCTCATTTTCTGAGCTAAAGCATTTGTCCTGTGATGAACGAAAGCTGAGGTGAAATGCCAGGAGATCCTTACCCCCATTACTCTTTAGGAGTAGAAGGTGGCAGGAGGGGCAAGTGTTGTTCACCATCTTCAAGATACCCGAGCTCTGAGACCTGATTGACATCGGCAGACCAAGGAGTTGAAAGCATCCCTTCACATGTGGCCAGTTCTGGGTAGGACACAGTTGGGTGCTTCAAGGTCTCCTTCAGTTTTTCCTCTGTGCTCGTTTTTGTCCCACAGCATCATTTTACCTCATTTCATGTGCTGTCTGCTCAGATCAAGCAGATCTCCCTCCTTGACCTCCCCACTGCAATCACAATCCATCACCCTGGAATTCCAGGCCCCGCTAGGGAGCTGTCTCATTTCCGGTATTGATGCGATGCTGTTTATCAATGTTTCAGAGAGCTCAGGTCTAAAAGGGAGTGTTTCTGGAGAAATGTGTAATGCTATCATCTACTGTAGCCACAAAGCTCTCTTTGCAGAAAAACCATCTGGGACTTGCTGCCATGTAGTTTTTAATTTAAAATAACCTTATGACTAACAGAACTATAAAATACCTTGTCATTGTTGCAGCGCGTAAGGGACTCAGTAATAAATTAGAAGTCCTCTGTGGTAGGAGCCATAGATAATAGCAATAAAACAACAACCTCTGTCTGGAAATACTTCAGTCCAAGTTCATATTTCTTACTTATGCAGCCAAAAATTGGGTTAATCGAATTTCATACCTAAGGGCTTAAGCAGTTCACAACTGGAATATGAAAGAATTTTTCCCCATTCTGGAATGTGGTAGCCTTGTATCTCTGGGAAGCATGCACTTAATGTTCAAGACAAAACCTTTCATTTAAACTTTCCTTCCTGTGTATCTGTTTGATTTAGCAGTGGTTTGTGAAGCATAGGATGCATTTGGCCATCCCAGATTTATGCCCAGTGAAAGAGGACAATAGTTTTGTTTTATATGAAATGTTTTTCTCCTCCTGTTTTGAACTAAGAAGTCAACTTTATGACAAAATCATTAAAAAGCTTAAATGCTGAACTGACTTTTCTCATTTGCCATTTTCATATGGATATATCTTTTCATAATTGCTTTTCCAGATTGTGTTGGTCAGTGGACATCTGGACAGCTGGGATGTTGGGCAGGGAGCTATGGATGATGGCGGCGGAGCATTTATATCATGGGAAGCATTATCACTCATTAAGGATCTGGGTAAATATTTAATTTAAAATATTATTAATGCATGACATAGCCAGAATGTTTTCTATATTGTATAAACTGGATTTTCTATTTTATCCATTTCTCTGAGCACAAATTCATACTTAGTATAAATATTTTGCAAGTTTGTCTGTTAAATCTATTTCATCATAGGGGTCATCAAAAAGCTGCACACAAGTCAGGGATCTAGTAAGTGCTTTAGCCTTCATATCAGAGAGTGAAAGCCCAGTGTAAGATACATTAATCTTCCCTATTAAAGAAGATGAAGCTTCATGAAGTCACATGAAAATCAGCTTTCTGGTATTTTTCTTCGCCATCAGCGTTGATGTTGAGCACGTTCTTAAATCTTTCACTGCTTTTCCAGTGTCTCAGTTAATTTAATTCCCACACTCATACCTCTGTCTTCATAGATTCTCAAGACAGTATAATCTATGTCTCTCTCAAGAACATGCAACAATGGCTGGATCCAGGCCATGATTCTACTTCTGGTCTTTTTCTTTCCACCTGCATGTAAAGACAGTCATCAAAACTGATCTTGAACAGAGATTTATATTTCAGGGTTCCTTTTCCTTGATTGTTCTTCCTAAATAAATTTGTATCCTGCTTAGTCTTGTTACACCAAATACCTTTAAATACAAGTGTATCATCAAGATGGTGGGCTCTAAGATTTGCACTTCAGGGCTGCTTTCCTGATCATCTGTGCTGCTTTTATGTTGCCGTGCGCTTGGGCTTTGTTTTGGGCTGTGACAACTTTCTTCCTTAGCAGAAAGTGAAACCATATCAGAGGAACATGCACTTGAGTTTCATCAGTGCAAGGATATGGTTCTGTCAAATTGTGCTTCACATAGTGTCCTGTCATATGAGTCCACAGTGGGCTCATATATCTCATCATGTAATGTAACATAGAGTTCCTGCACACCATATTCTCGTGCTGCAGTAGGTATGTGTTATGTAGAGCAATGTTCTCCTTCCAGGGATCAGGGATTCCAGGGATTCTTTGAACCTGTCTTGATCACAAGAAGGGTGACAAGTTGACCAAGTTGTGGAATTCAGTCTGTAGATGCTGGACACTTCTGAAGCTGAAATTCCAGCACAAATACTGTCAACCAGGGACTTGCTGGTGTCCCTCCTCCAAAATTTCTGTTCAACAGAAATGTGAGGTGAAGTAAATAGCTGTGCTGTCAGTCTCTTCCAGTAGTGCTACGGGTAAAATACCAGCATAGAATTGCTCAGCCTACTGCCTCCTGGTTTGCATATCCTCCTTTGTACGATCTGAAGGACTGACTTCTTTTAGTCATGAGTTTCTTCTGACCTGTGGGTAGAAGCAGGGTGCAGACAGAATGTTGTTGTAGAAGGGCATGACCTACGTGTGCCTGTGTGGGGTGTGTTTTACAGGAGATAATCTGCAAGGTAAAATGAGTAAGGGTGAGTGTATGAGCAAGAAATAGTTGTGCTGGTTGCACTGAGAAAACCATATGTAATTCCTCACAGGCTGGAGGATGAGTGTGGCACAGACACTGTAAAAGAGCTCTGAGGGCAGATCTGGGACTTCAGCTCATGGTTGCCATCTCCCAGACTGGGATCTACAGTCAGGTACTGATACCTGAAATGATCTGGACATTAACCTAATTGGCAGGAGTGAAACATCCAGATTCATTTGTCTGTGTTCTCCTTACACATAGCCTCTCAAAGTTTAGTCTGGTATCCTGCTGTTCTTAGTCTGTTGTAGGATTTCTGATCTCCAAAGTACAAATTCCAATCTTTTGCTTGATCTGTAGATTTTTGCTTTTTTTTTTTTTTTTTACTTCCATATGGGCTTTTGTCCCTACGCCCTTCTAAACTAGTTCAAAGCAGACTTCTTAGATTGTTGAGTTGATATCCAGGGATGCTTTTCTCCCTTTTCATCAGACAAAATCACTTTTTCCTCATAATTCCTTTTTTTCCAGAACTGTAACCTGCGGTCAGTAGGAATGTTCTAAGTGTTCATTAAAAAACAAAGTCGGCTGCTGTTCCTGCTCTTGGCTCTGGCAGAGTTTACATAAGAACCTAGCCTTTCCTGCTTCTAATCAGAAGAATTCATGCACTTAAATAATCTCAGTGTTTCTTGAAGAGCTCTTTGTAGACAAGCTCTGTTATGTGATTAGCCACTCTCACGCCATAATGATGAACATGAGACATCCCTGGGAATCGCTATTTATTTTGCATTATTTGAACTCCTTATCTCTCCTTTTTCACAGCCTCAGAATGACTGGAACATCAGTCTGTGACTAAGAACAAAATGCTTGTGTTTGAATTTTTTTCCTTTTAAAAGTGAACTAAAAGGGATTCTTCTACAGGAAAATCTAGACCTACTCTTTCATTTAGTGCTTTGTAATTTTTTTTTTTTTCATGATTCTTGGAAAATTGTCTATGGTTCCTCCCCCTGCAGGGGGAAAAAAAATAAATAAATATTGTTCTTGTATTTTCTGATGCTATTCTATTCAGAACAAACTGTTTTGTGTCCCTTAAGGGCAACTTCATGGTGGCGTTGTATAATTCTTATTCACTGTGCTTCCTCTCAGGCATGAATGAAATGCATCACTCGCTGCTTGTTCAAATATTTGATTTACTCTAGTAGTAGCCTGTGTTTTTGCTGTACAGCTTGTGGGGAAATGCTGTTTTCTCAGCAGAGAAATGTCTGAGCCTGTGCTGATGCCCTCTGTTCTGGTTAGCTGTTGCACTGTTAGAGCAGTGTTCTGCAGGAGTATACGAGAAAACATCTGGGTCATCCAATCTAACCTGTAGACTGTGACGTGGGATAGAACCTTTCATCTTCCATAGGAGAAGATGTTGTTCAGTACAGATTTTACATCTCGTAATGCACATAAAATCTGACCAAGAAAAAGGACAGCAAACTGACAGATATGCAGGCTGTTTGAGAAATGCATTAGTGAGTTTTATCTAAAACCAACTGCGTAAATTGCCTTTTTTGTGTGCATTAGTTTCCAGCATTATACCTTGAACTGTGGAGGTTTGGTTTCGTATCCTTTTGGACTCTGACAAATTTCATTTCAGTCATATCAAATACATTTGGCGTGGGAATAAACCAACAAAACTGTCTCGTCAGTATGTGCATTGAGGTTTTTTACTGTTTACTGGAAGTCTTAAAGGCACAGTGCACTGTGTAGCCGTGAAAACAATGTCTGCATATTGCAAAACAGGTCTTACAGGTATGTGATCTGAAAGCTGAAGTGAGCGTTCTGAAATACAAATTTTAGATAGTAAAACTTGTATTATGTGCAGTGGGGATTACTGCTGCTGTGTCTGCCATAGTCCATTTCTTTCCCGAGAAGTGAGATACTGATACACTATTAAAGCAAGTTTTTTAGTGGTGATCTAAAGCATTTCATCATAATATCAGGGTTACCCTTGGAATGGCCAGTAGTTACAAGTGAGGCTTGTTAATTAGGACTTTGTTAATTCTATGCATCACTTGAAGAATGACTGTAATTTAAATGCTATTCTGTACTTTCAAGCTAACCCCTCCCCAAAACTTTCAGTAGCTTTTGGCATAGGACCATAAAAATTAGATTAATTGAAAAATCATTAAAACTGCAGTATAAATGGTTACATTTTAAGTAGTGCCATTTTCATGCTCTGGTTGAAAGTATCTAATTCTTTTATTTCTAAATATATCATCTGCTTAATGTGTTAGGCTTTATGTTTTCTGACTCTTCGTTCTTGGCTTTTGTGTTTGTTTTTTTATTTCAGCTGCAGTTTCTCTGCTATGTTCATATCTGTTTTTTAGTTCCTGCTGTTTCTGTAGATTCCCAGGCACTGTAACAGTCAGCTCCAAGTTTGCTGTAAGAACATATAACAATAACATAGTCTCAAGCAAATTCACACAGAGACCTCAACACTGACTTTTTTGAGGGGAAAAAATGGAACTTATTCTTTCTGGTAGGATTTTTTTTTTTCCATTTCACTTTTTAACTTCATATGGACTCTGTTTCACTTGGGACAAAGGGAGGCAGCCTGGAGGCAGAGGACAAAGCATCTGGAGGTGAATTCTGTGTCTTTCGTACCCTGGTGATGAGAATGAGCACCACTGGTAGTTGCTTCTATCTCTTCTCCTTCTCCAGAGAAAAATCATAGACAGCAAATTCATAGTAAATACCTTCTTTTGGATGGATTACAATTCACTGAGGTGAATCTTTCTCCATGTGGCTATTCCGTAACTGCTTGGTATAGAAACTGAACCCCACATTTTCTGTTCTGTGTGTTTACAGCTTTACTCTGGGGGGAGGAAAAAAAAAAAAAAAAAAAGCTTTCCACAGTGTATTGATAAATGTCCTCTCTGCTCTGTACATTTGTTGGTATGGCCCTTTCCACTGGCTGCCTATCTGAACTCACGAACTTCCACCATTCCACCAAAAAGTGGCCATTCTGTCCAATGTTATCTGGTCTTTTCTCTCAGTTAATGTGCAAGTTTAACAAAGCACAAAGGAAAGAAAAATGCTACTTTTTTCATAGAATCATAGAATCACTAGGCTGGAAAGGGCCTAGAAGATCATCTGGTCCAACCATCCTTCCATCACCATTGCTGTACATGCACTAAACCACATATCACAGCTCCTCATCCAGGCGCCTCTTGAACACTGCCAGGGATGGCGACTCCACCACCTCCCTGGGCAGCCATTCCAGTGCCTGACCACTCTTTGACAAAAGAAGTTTTTCCTTATGCCTAATCTGAATCTCCCCTGGTACAACTGGTGGCCATTTCCTCGGGTCCTGTTTGTTGCCTGGGAGAAGAGGCCAAACCCCTCCTCATCACAACCTCCCTTCAGGAAGTTGTAGAGTGCAGTAGTGAGGTCTCCTCTGAGCCTCCTCTTCTCCAGCCCAGCACATCTGAAGCTTGTATGTGCCACTGATCAGCAAGATCCCTGGCAGGCTACTTTGTGGTTTATTTGTCTGAAAATCCATGAACTGGAGGCATTTCCACAAAAGTTGTTAAT